CCCATCAATCTTCTTAGCCTCTCTCCAAGTATTACCTTTCCCAAGGCGATGCAACGAATACCACTCTTGCCACCTTTGAGGTTTCCTCCTTCAGGCTGTGAGAAAGGTTCAACATGGATAGCATGACCAAAAGCAATACAGGTTTGCTGCTTGGCATCAGAGCAGCAGGCAGTGCACTTAGCCTGATTTTAGCTGTGAATTAAAACGTGTTGGAGGCAGTGGTCTGGTACCATTTCCCTGTGTGTGTGTGTGGAAGGAAAAACTACACCAGCATCTTCTGATCTTTCTCCACAGAGGCATCAGTTCCTTTAGCCGAAATGAACTTAAAAGCCAGGGAAGTTTCCATTACATGAATAATTAAACCATGAGATTCACTATCACAGGCCACACCTGAGGCCATGAATTTAGCAGCAGGCAGAAAGGATTTAGGTGTTTGTAAGAATAGCAAACCCATACAAAACTATAGATAGAGCACAGCTAAGAATTTGAAAGGCATAGTAAATCTTGCAATGGCAAACTTGGCCAGGTCTCTGTTAAAAAGCAATTGTTGCCAGTCCATAGGGTTAAGGGAAAAATTCTCCCCATAAGTGCCTGTATCACATCACACTTTATCAAGCCTGGAGTCTGCACTCTCTTGAAGCAGCTGTTTTTCCTTGATGGCAGTTGTATACCAGCAAATGGGCCAGTATGTTGATGCAGATTTTGATGAGATTTTTTCCAAAAAATTAACATTGCGTTTTCATGTCCTTAAAACCACAGTGAAATAAATCAAAGAAAATTGTTGCTGCTTTGTAGTTAAGGTGTTTAATACCACAAATATTCAGTGTTGATTCAAGAGCTGAAAAAAAAAAGTGATCAAAAGGTGTACATGCATCACAGATCTAAGTGTTGAAACACAATATGTGACATAAAGGAACTATCATTAGTAATAATATTTGCAGTTTTATAACACTTCCCATTTTGGCCTTTTAAATGCCACATGAGCATCTTACAAGCAGCGGAGGCAACATCTAAGTGCTTGCAGCATTTCCAATGGGCACAAAGAAGAGTGATTCCTAAACTGCTGCATCATGTGTTTTAATATGTGTGTCAGCAAAGTGGCTACAAATCTGTCTCACTAATGCTTGGTGTTTGCATCCAGCTGTTGATTATTAGGAGAATTAAATCAAACAAAAGAGCCACTAGATGGAAGTCTTACATCTCTTCTTCTGGAGCCTAGGAAAGGGCTTTCATAGCTCTTGCAAATCAGAGAGAATTTTTCAGGAAACCTGGTTTCTACGTAGAAACTACTGTGTCATTATTCATCCTCCAAGTTCGCTGTCAGATTTAAATGGTACACAGGTGATTTCCAGGAGGGCTAAAAGGCTGATGCCTACTGGCTCCCACGGGCAACACTCCTCCCTGAAGTCTTCTCAATATTAGATTGATTATTTTATCTATTTTTACTTACACTGCAGAGTTCAGGTTTGTGTGCAGGTTTGGAAAGTCCTGGACTTTGTCACTGAGCATTTGACATTAGCCACTGGTCTGTGAAGAGAAGAGTTGGGGTATTGACTGAGCTCTCAGGAGTATGGTAGCAGAATTCTGGTAAACACATCCACTGTGGGGCAGGAAGTCACTTCAACTGCCTCAATAAACCCACAAAATCACTACTGAAAAGCACTTTTAAAACTAGTCTGTCTCCATATAGAGGCAGAAATCCAGGCAGCAGCAATTCTACAGCTATTCCCTGCTTTTGCTTTCATTGCAGCCCAAAAGCCATTTTACACTGGGTTCAGCCTCTAAACTTAGCCATTAACTTGCCTCTGAGTGGCACTGTGCAGCTCACAAGATTGAATGTTACTTCTGCTCACAGGATGTTCCCAATTCCCTCAAAGACATTAATTTTCTTCAGACTTTAGGTCAGATATTGTAACCACATGGGATCTCTGCCAGGGGCAAATGGGTTTATTTCAACAGGACAGGGGAAAATCACAGGGCAGCATTTCTGTTCCTTGATATGAGTCAGGGGGAAAAAAAAGAAAGCTTTTGTGAAGATCCACACACATATGAGTTGGCAGAAAGACAAAATAACTTCTGTAGGAAAAAAAGAAAAGGAAAAAAATGAAGAAACTCAGGTCTCCTGGTGCAAGGGAACCTGAGGACAGCAGAGCAGGATGTCCCCAAAGTCCCAGCTCTGCTCAGCTGCTCTGAAATGCCACAGACAGACAACTTGTGGTTTGGGGAGTTAGGCTGGTACTGATAAAGTGGGGTTGCAAAAAAAGCAGGGAGTAAGAAATAAGGGGGTGAACAATGAAGAAGAGCCAGTTCTGAGTGCAAGAGAGCACATAAAAATCTTCTGTACTTGTGTGCTGCACACAAGAGGTGTGGGACCACCTTTTTGGCCACACCTGTGGCTTTTCTGACAACTCTGACTCCCACACTTTTGCCACACTCTCACTAATTTTCCCATGTCAACACTGGAGCTTTATTGCCCAGGGGCAGTATTCCAGAACCTCTCTTCTCTGTCTAGATGCTATTTTCTTGAAATGTGCTGCAACTGCATGTTGGGATCGGCCAAGAAATCCCACAGCTATTAAAGAAAAATTCTCTGCCTGTGCTGTGGCATAGAACAAGCTCCAGCCACAGCCACCTTCCATTTTTGTTCCTAACAGCAGGTGAGAATTAAGGAAACCACTTTTTAAACTGTTGTTCCTCCTCAGATCGAAAAGATGTAGAGTGCTTTAAACTTCATGATCCACTATGGACTTCTCAATGTCCACAATCGATCACAAAGGAACAGGTTATTCCTCCATGTCTTTCCTTATCAGGTGCCTTCACATATTCCATATTTATTTGTCCAAGCATTTGTAAGACATTTGGAGCAGTAAGCCACTCTTTGTGAGTGTGAATGTTAATTACCACACAGAAATGCTTCAGCCTTACATGTCTCCATCCACTCTGCCACCTACCAGCCAAAGAGCAGGTAGGACCATACCAGGGCAACCATCCCACTTGTGGTACTTGAGATAACTTGTTTGGATGCAGCCTTGATGTTTCCACACTGCCTGGCCTCACCTCAGAGGAGTAGGATGCTTTGGGTGATTTGCAGTCTTATTTATTTGCAGACTTAATTATCTAAAGAAAGATTTTTCTGCTTCATGAACTCTCCTTGCCTGCTTAAAAATCTACTCTTACTCATGTGGTGATTTGGTTTCAATTGCAAATCTCTGTGAGTGTCTCCTGAAAAAAACCAAAGAAATGTTCAGGTTTACTCCTCCAGAGCAACAATATGGACCATGTGATGGCTGGAGTTCCCAGGAAGTTGCTTGCAGAGGTGATCACTCTAAGCCTGGTACCAAATTCAGCATGTCTTTGGTCATTTCCATAGCTCCTGGACAGGCAGTGGTCCTTTTAACCTTATCATTTTATGTAACCTTCTTGAATCACAACAAGCTGCTCTGCCACAAGTCTTTGAGGTTTGCTTACCCCTCGAGTGCCTCTTGTACATTAGAGATACACCCCAGAGCTACAGCAATAAATACCAGAGTCTTATTTGCACAATCTGTACAATCAGTGTAATAATCTTTGAAGACTGACTGCTTCTCAGGTCTCATATCTAGCACAAGAGCCTACAGGATCCCATCAGAGAAGAAAAACAGTGCTTGGGAGTTGAGGAGGGCTCACAGGCAGCATGAGGAACAAGTATCCATGGCTCACTGAAGAGGATGACCCTGAAGAGGACTGCTGATATGGGAAGCAGAATAGGACCTGCATAAGTGCTACTTAAACTGTATCTAGAAAGTATAAGTGGGGCTTAATGATGAATGTACCTTATGCACAGCAATGAATTTTGCCCCTTGCAAACAGCTGATGATCAGAACAAATCTGTTCCTACAAGATGAGTGTTTAGGAGGAATGAACAGTTTGATGACAAATTACAGCCTGTTTGCAAAGAATTTTTGAATTTATATGTACAAAACTAATTGATTAAATTAACTGGAATGAGTCACTCAAACAGCCCGAGGATAAAGGATTATTTTCAGAATCAAAGCTGTACATCTGCTTCGTATATTTGTGGTGCACGTGCTGAAGCTCTTCATTGCTTGAGCTGTTGTCTCTTTTTTTTAGGTGGGTGAAGCAGTTCTCGAAAATGCTCGTCTTATGCTGCACACCGAGAACATTCAAGCCTGTGCTGAAGATTTTAAAGACAGGTAGTCTTGTGCTGGCACCTACCTGGCCACTTTCTTTGAAACTTTGGCTTGGCCAATGGTTACTTGGTTGTAGAGTGATGGTTAGTGAGTAGAATGGAGTTGGTTTTCAAGTTGCATATTTAACCTCCTGATTTGGGAGGGGTTTTGTAACAGCAAAATAATTATGATGCTAACATTATTTTGGAAGAATTTGAAGATTCACGGTAACAAAAATGTGCATCAAGCAAAATTATGTAAGCTATTATTTTGATACACAGACATTGGTTCTCTCACTGAGGTCAGTATTCGTTCAAAATTGGGTTGACATTTTATAAAGGAAACATCCGTGTGCTTTTTAGTTATCATTTTCAGTACCACACAAGTGGTTTTGGAAGTAACAATTATTCTGCTACAGCTGGTGAAAAGCAAAAACTGCACCACCACGAACATCAGGGTGAAATGTTAGATAAGGATACAGAAATGGGCTGCGAGGATTTTCCTTGAGAAAAATAAGTAGTTAAAGAAGATCTTAAATACTGGCAAACTACTTTTTTAATGTCTTTCTCTTTGAAAAGCCCAATATTCATGTACATGAGTGCATGAAGCTCTTTAAATTTTACTCAGGAGGTGTGATCCTCCTAGCTTTTATTCATAATGGACCCATTCAGTTACAAATAGCCTATTTGACACACAAACTATATTTCAAACTAATGTATTTCTGATGATTTTTGTCATCCCTTAAATTTCTATTTCTCTCTCTGTGGTATTAGTTTATTTAATCATATTTTTAAAAATGAAGTAATGGTTCTTATGTTTGCTTTTTATTTCAGAAAGGTACAACTCTGAGATACTTATTTTGTGGCTTTATGTCCAGCAAGCTACTGGACATAAAAAGCTACTTAAGATATGTAGTTTTTAAAAAAATTTTAAAAATATGCCAGCTGACTTGGACAAGCAGTGTACATAACAAAAACAATGTCAAATGAATCCACCGCATGGTAAAAGCTTCTGATTGTCACAGGGACCAGCTGCCACATTCCTAGGCTGTTGAACTCCCAGCAAGGAAGGTAGATCTTGAGGAGCAAAGTGTTTATGTAGCTGGTTTCTAACATGCCAGCCCCTCCTATGTAACCTCCCAGGCCACCAGATCCCCAGGTCAGATGGGTTTGACACAAAAGTCTCCCACTCAAGAGATTCACTATGCAATCCACATTTTGAATGTAAAGCCTAAACCATAGAGTTATAAACAAGAGTAAAGCAGAAAGTAGAGCTGTGGCATAGCAACTGCCTGCCAAAAGTTTCCCTGCCATTACAGCCATGGTTTGGAAATGAGCAGTTTCTTCTAATAGCAATTCTAATTAACAAACCAACCACTCAAATTTCCTCTTGACTTTGATACTACTGGGATTTGGTCTTAAGAATGGGCCAGGACCCTGTAACATAGGCCAGACTTCTATCAACTATGCCCATTAGTAAAAGTAATGCTTGATGCACATGTGTTTTCTTTAACCATTGCTCTGAAATTTTTTACATTGATGAGTGAGTAGTTATTCCCATTTTACAGTCAAGCAAACTGAGAAAAAGGCACCCACAGTCATATTATATATAAATATCAGATATAGCAAGAGACCACATGCCTCTCTGTGCTTATTTTGGAATCCTACCAGACTGATAACCATCACAGAGTAGACTCATAACTTGGCCCATTTTCTTACACTCTGAGTTAATGACAGGGTACTTCAGGCACTTAAATTCAAGTATAGAGAGACAAGGTGAGAGCAAAGTATATTGTCTGTGTTTCTGTGTCTCTGTCTGGGACACACAAGCTAATTAGCACAAATGGTGTCATTCAAAAAAAATAAAAAAGCAGTTTTTCTTGCTGAGCTGTACTCTGTTAAGGTTTGGCTTTTTTTTTTTTTTTGGCTTTTTTTTTTCTCTCTGCAGATATGAAAATGAGCAGCCATTCAGAAAGGCAGTGGAAGATGAAATTAATTCCCTATATAAAGTGATTGATGATGCAAATTTAACTAAAATGGATCTGGAGAGTCAGATAGAGAGCATGAAGGAAGAACTAACTTTGCTGTCAAAGAATCATGAAGAAGTAAGTCCAGACTCGGGACACTGCAAAGCCAATGTGTGCCTATTTCATCTGGTTGGTATCATATATCTAGTGCAAAGCAAATGTTAAAATTTCTGCCTTCCGTGTCTGGGTGGGGGGGTTTTCCCAAAACCTACTCCTTCTTCTCTGTTAACTTAAAGAACTGACCCCTGAGGCATGATCAAATTACTTACATTTAAGCTTTAACTCTTTCTTGGTTGATAAATATGACATGGAAGAGATGTCATCACCTTATTTATTGTTAGATGCCACATGATGGTCATGGGGTTGCACAGTCATCTATGTGGACATCTCAACAGTAAGATTTGATTCTCAGCCAGAGATACAAAGAGAAAATGCATGTGCAGGAAACAAGCTCTGGTAACACTGCACTAATGCTGAGCGTTAACCAGGTTCTTCTGAAAATGTCCTGCTTGGCTTAGCAAACTGTTCAGTTCCCAAAACTGTGACTCCCCTGAGCAACACACCACAAGCAAGTCACATGGACAGTGGCATGAATGGGTGGTTTGGGTCACTTGAAAGAATCATCATCAAAGGTATTAGCAAAAGCAGGTTTAATATGAGTTGTGAAAGCACAACTTGAGTTTAATGGACAGATTCGCTCTATTACTTACTACCCAATGAAGCTCACAAAGGAAAACTGGATTAGAATCAATCTAGAATGATTTACACAGAGACTGGGGAAGCAAAGGGTAAAGGTGCTAAAGGATAAGGGTTCAAAATGCTTAGAGGAGGCCCTTCCATTGAGCCACAAGGTTCAGAGCAGACTCCCTTCTTTCTAAACTCATGATGGAGACTAGGTGTGGCCAAGTCCAAACTTAGCTTCAGACTTGGTCAATGGTTTATAGCTAGAGGATTTGTCAGCACGGATCATTGACTAATTTAACATTTACAAAATGATCCGATAGGATTTCCTATGAGTACAGCAGTAACTTAACTATAGATCTGGGATGGTGATATTCATACTATACTAACAAGAATTCCTGAGGTCATAGAGTGGTGTGAGGGGATGGGGAGATGCACCACCACTGACAGGCAGCTGGAAGGGAAGCCCATTACTACCCAATTTTGCAATACTTTCCCATGTATTCATTACATTCACCAGCACTACTTGCATGAAGGTGGTTTGCTCCCTTCAGCTGGGGTTTCAGGATGGAACACAAATCAGCATCTTTTCTCATGGGGGCTTGAATATGAAGCTGTTGCTAATCCCACATAAGGGACAGCAAGCAACTGTGCTGGTGCTTCAAAAGTAAAATAGACCTTGAATTGTGATGGCTCACTGAAGCAAGGCATTATCCTACCTTATATTTCTTACAGGTTGTTCCTCCAACCACAAGATTTCAGCAACACCAGCAGGCATATGGAGACTTGGCTTGCCAAGATGAGGTTGCTTTACCCTCTCCCTACTTGCATCACTCTAAACCCAAGGCTGGCATTTGGCAGAAAATAACCAGTGGCTTCATCACCAGTGTATGGCATGAGAAAGATGGAAGTTGTTTTAGATAAGAGAGAGAACAGAAAATTGATAGAAATACACATGATCCCCTTTAAACCTCCAAGTACTGCAATGGTTGCTGTGCAATCAGAAAAGCTGGTGCTGATGCTGTTCTGTCTGTAGCTATGGCATAGTGAGAACATCACCGTTCCAAAAGCTCCTCTTGCTCCACATGTAGCCATTAAGGAGTCCTTGCAGGCTGGACAGATGCTCCTTTCTTTACCTATTGGGTGTACCTGAGCATTTGCAGAACTACCTCAGCACAGACCTGGTTTTCCCATGGTAGCAGCACCAGGGAAAGCTGCTTAAGAGAAATCATGGAATAAAGGCTGGAAGCAACTACTGCAATTACTCCAGCTGAGCTCTGGCACAATAAAGTCCCAAGGACTCTCCTGAATTGATTCAAACCTTTCTTTCCACTGGTGCTCCCACTAGGAAATCTATGCTAAGTCCTTTTGAAGATTTTGTGAACTTGGAGTGGGCACATTTTGAGACTTTCATTCTTGTAGGTTCATAATTCACATAATTCCCATCCATTTTTTCCAGTACTGTCACTGTCAGGGGACATTGCTTACTAAATAAAATTCCCAGGTTCTTTTGAACTATCCTTTTTTTTTCCTGCTTGTGCTAATAGCACATATAGACACATTGATGTAAAATTATTGCGGTGCCAGACAGTTCAGATACATGCGCAAATCTCATTTACTCTTGTGTTCCTGAACATGATGTACAGGTCATGTACTACCTTTAAGCAAGCAATTCTAGACACGCTGATTCTCTAATGCTTACATGTTTTTGGAGCACTTATATGTAATGAAGGGACAGAATGGTGTCACAGAGGAGGAGAGTACTCTTCATCTCACATGCACATGCACGTACCATGCATGTGGCTCACAAAAGCTCACGCTCTTTTGTACATCATGTTGCATCTTCCAGTAGATGCATGCCTGTGCTACTGCATGGTGCTGCAGAGAGGGAAAGGCAGGGTTTGATGTCCTGTAAGGTACTAGTTCCTTGGCCCAAAGTCCATGCTGCAGCTTTACTGGCAATACAGTTGTGGTGGGTTCGGGTCCCAGATGTGCAGTATGCGTCAAGCTCTGACTGCTGGAGAAACTTGCCACTGCTGGGAGGGCTGTTCCAAGTAGTGACTTGCAGGGCTTCAGTCTCTTTCTATCAAGAGGGAAACCACTCCCAGTACCCCAGATCTGCAGCAAGGGTCACCATGCAAAAGCAGGACAAATCCACATCTGATAAAGAAACCCTCCGCTGCACTAAGTCATTAATGTAGAGACACCTTTTGGGACCAAATTTAATTACTCTATCTGTTTGTGGTACCAAAAGAGCTCTTCCTTGAGCTTTTCTGAAGATACCATTCAATTGTCCAGTTCACTTTCTTTTATGTCTGTTATTTTTGTTCAAGGATGTGAAAGTACTATACAAGCAGCTTGCTGGATCTCAGCTGGAAGAACTTGATGTACCCCTGGGAAGTGGCCTGGATGACATTCTCGAAAAAATCAGAATCCACTGGGAGAGAGACATTGAAAAGAATCGTGCTGAGACAGGTGCCCTGCTCCGTACCAAGGTCAGCACTCTGTAACCACTCCAGCTTCACAGGATTGGAAGCAAACACAAAACCTGTCTAATACTCTCTGCAGTATCTTTGAGAGTTGGGTGTTTGTATTTTTCTTGAAACAAAAATGATGTTAGAAACCTAAAGAATTTTGGTCCAAGTCCATGGGAAAATACAATCATAAACATCAGGGGCTTTCTTGGGATGCACAGAGTTAAGCAGTGGTGGAAATGGCCCTGCTTATATCTCAGGTATCTGTGGGAGCCTTTGAAGGTCTCTGAAATGTTGGCTAGGAAAACCAAGATCAGTTGACACCTGCTGTGTAGCATAAGCCACAGTCATTACCCTTCTTACTAGGGCTGTTCCTCCACTGAATAATTTACAGGGGTCTTATAAATCAAGAGGGCAAAACACATTGCTCTACACTGCAGACTCCTTGTGGGTTTCTCCTTGATATGGTTTCCTCTGGTAGCAGTGGGAAAACTAGATACTAACTTAGAAATGAAAAGTGATGATAACAGACATTCCCTTTAAAAGTCCTCTCCTCTCTCGAGGCTGAGTCTGAAACAGCCTTTTAATGCAGCTTATTTTCTGTCATGAAGGATCACTCATTTTCCAAAGAGGCTGGCTGAAGTAAGTGTTTTTGCAGAACTGAAGCATTAAGTTCAGTGAACAATCCTATATGCTAGAAGACATCTCATTCTGAGTTGGCCCTTACAGGAAAGCAAAGCTTAACTACAGCAGTGCTACAGAAATATTTAGTAAAAATATATCCCCCCCGTTCCAAGGTAAACAGGTGCCATGAGAGGAGTAGGGCATATTGAAAGCAAACAGTGAGGAAAAATAAAACCAAACCAAGAGATATGTTTGCAAAGATACATGCAAGCTCTGAGCTGGTGTTCATTTTCAAAGTAAAGAAGAAAAATCCTGTGACAACAGTGATAGCAAAAGTGCTAGGGAATGTACAAGAAGCCAAGCAGAGAAGTTTATCCCACAGGTCCTATCAATTTTGTGAGGGTGCCAGACTGTTACTAAGCAAACTTTTCATAAGGTTAGTCTGCAGGGGCCTGATTTTCAGCTCATACAGTCAAAAGGGAGTCAGTGACACAGTAATAAACTACCTGGAGAGCACCTCTGTATGAAGCACATGCAGTCCTGAAAAGCCAGGGCATCCTCAGTAGCCTCCTGAGCTTTTCCCAGAAAATCTGTTCCTGACCCACTGCCAGGTTTCAGCAAAATGAGCACCACTCTGACAGCACCAAAGTCTTCAGTGTTCCCACTTACCTGTCCTGCTTGCTCCACTTCCTCCTCCTCCTCCTGTGCAAACAGATCTGTACAACTTCTTTCTTTGTATTTCTTTCATACCTTCAATATCTTGTTTTTCAGCTGCTCAGAGATAACACTGGAGGAGAAAACTGCCAGCTCATAGGAGACTGCTCTGTCATGTCTTTGATACCCAACCCACTCCTACTTGGTCCTCTTAGTCTAAGCTCCTACTGGTTTCAGCTGTTTGTGTTTGATGGTTGGTTTTTTTTATAAAAAGAAGAAAGAAGCAGAATATCACAGTTTTCTGGAAAGACCAGTCCTGGTTCTGCACAGGTTCTAGTATGACATTCTAGGGGCTTTTGTCCCCAAATATACCTCCCACTAAACCCAAATGATCCAGTTTTGTATCTCATATCTCATACAGATACAGATCTATTCAGCTTATCACTATTTACACAGATAACAAGAGTTTAGTTTATATCAACTAGGTTTGTGAGCTTACATTATGTTTTGTAGCTAAGTGGACCATTTGGTTATCCATGCTGTGAGAAATTTGCCCTCACAGTTTTGTGACATCAACGGAGGGAGAGCAGTTCCCTCCTCTCCTTTGCTCTTTGTTACCAGTTTCTTCAATGTCTCTGAGGTTTTTCTTGGTCCCTAGTATTTTGCTTTACTTTTTCTGCTCCTACTCTCTTGTGTACCTGTGAGCAGGTCAGACCATGATGTTTCAAATTATATCCTAGCACTGACTTAGACATCAGGGCAATATTTTTGTTATTTTCTGACTAATTCCCTTGCCTCATTTGCTTTGCCTTATGACTAGACTTGCAGTCTTGGCTAGATTTTTCAAGCATATTCAGGCATCAAAACAGACCAATTTACGTTCATACTGAACAGGGTTTCACATGGGAGTTTTTAGATAAGTAAGTAACCTCAAAATTCAAGTCCATTGGTTTCACCTGTGCAGTCTTTTGTCCATAATACTCAAATCCTTTCCCTAAATTGACACAAATGTTTTAAACCCTTCCAAGATATGCATGCTACTTCATATTTCCCCCTGTAAAATGCTTTACTTAATGATGCACTTATTCACTCATGTAGTTTGATTCCACACATCCACCTCTGCTCATTGCTAATCTGTATTGTTTTCTGCCATCTATAAATCCTTCTAGTTCATGATTCATCCCCAAGGCAGTAAACCTTGAGGCATCAAGCTGTTAAGCTTCAGTCATATGGAAGTAGACCTTAATCCTTCTCTTCAGGTCCTATTGGCCAGCTGTTGATCAGTGGCAATGCTCTGCCCTGAGCACATGATTACACAGCTTCCTCTGTCATCCCCTATGTTAGATCTCATAAAAGGTTTTGAAAAGTCTTGTGAATTATGTGAATTGTTTCCTCATTCTTTGCTTCTTTGTTAAAATGTTCCCAGAACTCTCAAGAGCTTATCAAAGTACCTTTCCTTCTTTATAGATCATGCTGATCAGACCCTGGATGCTGGTGTTCTATCCCTAATCACTCTTTCATTTTCTTGATTCCATTAAGAAAAGAAAAGACTAATGAGCAATTCTGCACTCAAGCACAATGTCTGGCTCAGAACTGTACAGATGTGCTTGCAATCCACAGATTCCTAGGAAACTCAGGCACCAGCATGATAAAAATTTAGGAGGATGATTTCATCCTCTCCCTCTATTAATCCACTTGTTCGTGGTCACCACAATTTGGTATAGCCTTCCCCTTATGGAGCATCTCAGGAGTAGGAACAGTCCCCAGAAAACACAAATTGCCTAGTAAAGGGGGCACAAAGACTACTTCTGCACTTCTCTACAGAAGGAACCCCAAAGCTGACACCAAATGTCATGCCCAGCAGCACCCCACACATGGACTCTTGGGGCTGATAATCCTGTAAGGAGGATGGGGGAACCCTGTGTATGACACAAGCTTTAGAGTGCATTCAGTGTGTCCTTACTTCCTGTGTCATCCTCAGTATTTAGGGCCTGATGTGACCACCTCCATCTACTCCATCTGCCTGTTCTATCATTCATACCACTAACATCAGGCAGCTGTGACAGTTTAGGGTAACTCCTGGACAGGTTTCAAGGTCACCTGTGGTGAGAACAGGATTTAGAGGTAGCATTTGGGCCAGCAATGGGGTAAATGTGAGACACCAGGCTTCAGGTGTAGGCTATAAATATAGAGGCAAAAGAAACCTCCCTGCCCTATGTGTCTCTTTAAAAAGAAGCATTTATAGTCTTCATACCATAATAACATGCCAACTACACACTCAACGTGATTTAGGAGACACAATTTACTCCAGAGTGGCAGGTCCATCATCACTAGGCTGGGTTCAAGTGGACTAGAGAGGTGGAATTATGTCTCTCTGAAGCATAAGCCCCTGCAAACTATTTCTAGAAAATACAGGCTCTCTGCAATTTGCTGGGAAGGACAGATTTGGTGTTTGGATTGAAATTCAGCCCTCTGCAACAGAGATTCCTAACTCCTAAATTCTGTTTGAGGCTTAACTGGTACTTGCAACTGAGACTATTTAATTCATTTTGTCCAAGGTGTGAGTTCATATGATGGTATAAAACAAATTATAAGAACTATTTCTGGTGTATGGTCCTAGATTTTTTTAAAATTTGATCTTACTTTTAAAGGAAAAGAATGCATAATCAGAAAAGCAGAACAGGGTCAAGATGAATTTTCAGAGTGGAATGGAAGTATTTTGCATAGTTTAATTTTAGCATCGACCACAAGAAATGTAGGTTTTGACTGAAGAATTATATTTGCTAGGGAGCCCAGAGCTCTGGGTTGAAAAATCTTGATCTCAGCCCTTATTAAAAAGTACAGAAATTTTATTTTTACTAAGGTACTTTTTCCTTCACCTATTTTCAAGGAGCCTGAATTAAACACATATAAAACCCCATAAGCCATGAGAGTGTGAAATTGCATAAGAATGACTTAATTAAATTAACAGAAATTATTTTTCTGACCTCTGTGATATGACTTGCTCTCTGACTCATAGAATCTTACATGAAAAATCATGGTGTGGAATACTTCCGAAATCCAACAGACTGAAAACACTTAACTCTTTTAAAAATAGCATACTATAGCTACAAAGTGAACAATTACAGCAATGTTTTCTTTTTATAGGTAATTTAAAATGTACTAGTATGAATTCTGAGCAGCTGTTGTTGACATGGATAAAATACACGCGTTTATATGCATAAGCCATTTTACAGTAAATGCATAGCAAATATGATAATTTTGACACTAAGAAGTATCCAGAATCGTTCAACCCAGAGATTCAATATACAGGAATCAAACTCAAAGTCAGAATTGCCACAAACTGTGAAAATATCAACTGTCAGTTTGGTATGTAAGGAAGCTAAACCATAATTTGAGTAGGTTGTGATGACAGTCGCCGTCTTTTACCAGCAACAGGCTGAAACGACGGCTGCCGTGCGAACCCAGGAGGAAGAGCTGGTGGAGGGCCTCAGAACCGAGTTCCATGAAACTGCCTGCAAAATACAGAGCTTGCAAGCAGAAACTGAATCTTTGAGAACCTTGGTAAGTAGTGTGGGGTCTTCAATGGGTATGTTCTGTGCTAATTGAACATGCCTTCTGAGGAGAACATTCCCATCTTGGGATTCAGGCTTAAAATTGAATCTCATTTTCCAGTGGGTACTGTTTCCAGAGATGTCAGACATTTCCAGGTTCCTCTGGATTGACTAGTGCACTAAGTGTCCCACATTTGACAACCAGGCCCCAAATTTCAATCTTCAGTGTCTTCATACTCAATTTCATCGAGATTGCTGAGTGGGTAGTACTTGACAACAGGAAGAATATGTGCACCTTGTAACCAAAGCAATTCAACTTTTTTATTTATAACATACAATATCAAAGTATCTAAAGAAAGGCATTCTCAAAATATTACATCTCTACTTAAACGTAGTCAGTAGAGATATTGGCCAAACCTGAACAAAAATCACTATGAAGCATATGAAAACTGACTGATTTATTGTCTGCTGTCGTGCCTTTGCAGAAGAGGGGTCTGGAGAACTCTTTATACGACGCCAAGCACTGGCACGACATTGAACTGCAGAACCTAGGCTCTGTCATCTCCAAGCTAGAGGCAGAGATGGGAGAAATCAAAGTAGAAACTGAGCAGCAGCAGCGGGATCGTGAAAATCTGCTGACCAGCAAACAACAGCTGGAGAAAGACATTGCTGCATATCACTGTCTTCTGGATGGAGAGCAAAGCAGGTATTTGTCTTTAAAAGCAAGTGTGCCAGAAGGATAGAGAAGATGTTCTCCCTGGGAAAGGGTTTTGAGGTTGTTGAAAGCAGGAGGACTATAGTGGTTCTCATGTTTCATAAGGCTGAGTGAGGTTTGGAGAAGCTGCCAAAGAGGGAGAACACACCAAATCCCATTGAGCAGAGATTCCTAATGTATTGGAGGTGGGTGGTTTCCAGCACTACCGTGGAAAGACATGGTTTGGGGATGTGCCAGTAGGTCTATGAGCATCCTGGGGCTACATTAGTGTCTGCAATGTGTGGTATTGTTTCTTGCCTCGGGTACATTATGCCATCCCTCCTTCTCCCTCTATACAGTCCAAATATTAAAGCTGTGATCCTGGGGAAGCTCCCTTTCTAAGCCTGTAAGTTCCTCCTGAAGTCCAAGGATGGAATCCGGACCACTGACTTTAACTTTTGTGAAGAAATACAGTTCAGACTCTTAACATTTGTCCTCTAGGGATAACCTGTAAACACCTTTACAGTGGTTGAGTTGGGTTGCTGGGCTGGGCTTCATTAAGATCCTTAAACACCACTTGTCATGGAACCTCAGAGATTTTGACTATCTCTTCTGCTTAGGCCAGTGAGAATTTTTAAATAAGTTGATGAGATTTCACCAGTTGAACTGAGGATAGTATTTAGTTCAGCAATTTTCCTATTTGTAGTAGTGACCAATTTTTATTTTTATCTTTGTTTTACTTTCAGCTGATCATGAAACTCCCAGCCCACAGAAGACCATTGCCATTAAAGCAAAAGAAGATGTCACTGCCAATTATGTTCGTGGAAGCTAAAAACCCATCAAAGCAGCCTGCTTTATTCAGTTTGATTCAACAATCAAAGTAGGTTGTAGCTTGAACAACTTTATTAGACCCTCCTCATGTAATTGCTTTGCTTACAGATTTCAATTTACTCATGTTGTTAAAATTATAATAAAATAAAGAATATCAGGTTTTTGTTTGACTTTTTTTTCCTCCCAGTATTTTTCATGATAGCTAAAGGTGGTTGGATTAAGAACATTGGCCCTCCAGTTCCCAGCAAGTAAACTCTTTCTTTTCATAGTACAAATATATCAAGACTGAACTACCCCTCTCCTGTGCATACAGCACCCACAATGAAATGGCAAGTGCTCTGTTGTGTCACAAGACCATCAGCTCAGTAGTGTGAAATCCAATTCCAGTAATGCTGAAGCAGTTCAGTGCACTACTAACTCAATGTGATTAATTTTGCAATACATCAACCAGCAGAATCATTAATGTGAGCATCCCAGCAGTACTTTATAAACACATTTTTAACTCTAGACAAAACTTCTGGAAAAGCTGAAGGTCCAAGAGAGCAACAGCAGTTCTATCTGCAGTCCAGGTCACATCCTTTTCACTGTATACTGAGAACCAGAGCCAGGGTGTCAGTTTGTGCTGATGTAATAATTCTTGATATATTTTGAGATTTGTTTTTACATGTTTGGCTCTTTATTGATATCAATAAAGCTTGGTCTGCCAAGCTTCTTTTGAACAGGCACCCACATAGCATCAACGTGGTGGGACCCTAGGTAATTTCCCTTATTTTGATGGCATCATGATGAAAAAGATTTGCTGTCTTTAACTTCTGACTTTCTTTTATATTTTAAACATTGAGAACTTCACTATAGTGCAGGTGCAGTATGGTCACATAAAATGCCAAGGTGGATCCTGCATTTTCAGAAAAACATAATGAACCTTATCCACTATCACCCAAAATTTTAGGCAGGTAGCTGCTTTCCTTCACAAGCTTCTGCACGGGAATGAGACTAACCACACGTGTGTTTGTTGTGTTTGGACTTTACAATACCAACAGTTACACCAGGTGACAACACAGTTCATTAAGTGGACTCAGAGAGAAGCCAAGAAAATGGCATATATTAGAGAACATATAGCATATAGGAGAGGTAGTCTGCAGATATTTTGATTTTAAATGGAAACAGTATCTAAGAAAGGTAGTTTTTAATGGCTGATAAAATCAAATACACTTCAAATCCATTATACTTGATCCACCAGTGAATAACGAGAATTTGCACACAAGTGTTGTCATGCCTTTCCTTGCACATTCCCCCACACATGGAAAATCCTTCCTGATACAGTTACTTGAAAAACAATCCCTTGTTTAATCTCTGCAAAAAGCCCATCTGGCATGTACCACCCATAAGATTTTGATCAAAAAAACCCCAAACAACTGGATTGAAAGATTACCCAACAACAATCAAAAAAGAAAGGCAGATGATGGCAGATTCCCTTTTTCCCCTCACAGAATGTAGGCTCCACAGAACAGTGATAATATCTTCTTACACATCAGTGCAGAACTCACCAAGCTGAGACTCCGTGAATAATAGTGATGATGAGAGTATATATACACAAACAGTAATACAAGAAATGAGATGGCACAGACCCTTGGGCTGTTGCTAACTGGATGCTGTCTAGGAATGGTCACTTTTTGATATTAATTAAACATAACCTCCCCCCTCATTCTTCACACAGAAGAGAGAGCAATTTCTCTATGATCTGAGAAAGAAGAGGGAATTTACAAAGCATATCTGGCCTCAATCTCTTTGCTATTTTCTAGTGATGCTTTAGATATGAAAAGCAAGTGCTGGCTATCTCACTGTTCTTTATAAGTGTCACTGATGGAGATAAACCTGATGAGATTCTGAGTCTACAATTATACTGTGATGCAAAAGGAAGAATTTTTTGAAGTTCCTTATATGGCATGAGTCAGCATATTTCATAAAAATTAAATTAATGCTCAGATGTTTATTCATTGGAATGGAAAGTTTCTTGCAAAATCATCAAGGTATTTCAGCATGAGAAAGTGTCTGGAAAAGGATGAACCATTTAAGCATAAATAATGAATTTCCAGCAGCTTTTCTCCCTATCTCTAGCAAAGACCAAAAGCCACTGAAAAGATTATTTTTGTGAACAGTCCATCAGAAGTCAAATATATATCTTAATTACAAATATATCAGGAAAAAGTTTTTTACTGTGAAGGTGATGAGACACTGGCACAGGCTGCCCAGGGAGGTAGTGGTTGCCCCAACCCTGGCAGTGTTCAAAGCCAGGTTGGATGAAGCCTTGAGCAACCTGGATGAGTGGGAGGTGTCCCTGCCCATGGCAGTGAGCACTGGAACTAGATGATCTTTAAGGTCCAATCCAACCCCTTAACAATCTATGAATCTATGAAATGTAGCATTTCTCTACTCTCTCTCTCTCTCTCTCTCTCTTTCTCTCTCCTTTTACACAGACTGCTGCCAGCTTACCTTGCTAGCTATGCAGCCCCTCCAGCATGCCTTGCCAGCCTGAATGCTGCCTAAACATTATCAGTCTTCACCGTCTGAGACAGGACATTGAGAACATGAGAGACTAAGGCTTCCACAGCTATTTGCAGCACTAAGGTTTATAAACTGAGCTGGCTTTATATTTATCCTCTAGTCTAGCCACTGCTCTATTAAACACATGTGAACATGTTTCCAACTGGCTTTCCTAAGAAAGCCACAAACAGATTTTATTATCTCCTACTACAGTGTCTCTCACACCTATATTCCTATGAAGGGATTTGTTGTATTTGTTGTTATGAACACTCAGGATGCAGTCAGGGAGCACAGATAACACAATCTAACAGCCAGCTGCTGCATAAAAGGACATCTCTACACCCCCTCACGAGCTGTGCATTCCCACTGCACCTTCTTGTGTTAGCTCCAACACCTGGCTCATGTCTCGGGAGACAGTTCAAGAATCAAAATCAGCAGAAAATTAGCCCTGCAAAATGCTGGGAAATTTTGCTGCCACTCAGCTCCCTGAAGCAGGCCATCATAGGGGCAGACATGTACCAGTAGCAGCACAGGGATGGGAGGAAGAGTGGAACTAGTCTGGTCTGTAAAGCATGACCATCCTCCTTGGTTATAGCTAGTCATTTGGTAGGATGAGGTGTTCTATCAAACCATACATATACTTTGTCCTCTCCCTCAGCCATGCACAGCTTCTTCTGCACCACATGCTGCTGCATCCTCAGGGAAAGCAGAGGGTATCAGCTCTACGCATCGTTTCACATTTCACACTGAACAGCAGCATACCACTCCAACTAGGAACTGGTCCTCTAGCCTATAAATCTACTGTTTACATTTTTGCTTAAGCATTATTATACTGATTCTGTGATTAAAAGATTATTTTCAAGGCCACTTCAAGCAGCATGGCAAGACTCACCATAGCTACAGGACGGAGAAGAGAGGTGAGTAAGCACCACTGTATGTCATGGCAGGCACACAGCTGTGTGCACTGCTAATGTGGGGGAGGAAAGACACAAAGTCCTCAGAGTCCTCTGGGTAAATCCATACCTGAGCAGAGGCACTCAGAGCACTGTGCCTTGCCAAAGGCAAGTCACACATGTCAACCATACAGAGTGTGGCAGAAAGCTGTGTGCTGAGCTCATGCTCCCATGGTGACAGTGTGGCATTCTGGATATATTCCTTGCATTAAAAACATTACTTCTGCTGGTCCATGCCTGCGAGTCATTCTTCAGCCAAATGTCCTCTGCATAATTATTCAGGAACATTGAATTTGAGAGAGAAAACCACAAATACTGACCTTTTTATTTCTGTATCCAACTTGTTACACAGCAACAATCTTATCTGTAAAAGCTAACACAATGCATTTGCAGAGATCTTCAAATGCTGTGCGTCAGCATGTTTTCACAATCTTACATAAAAATAAAAGTAGAGGTGGGAGGAAAATCCAAGCATAACTGCATAACTAATGCTTCCTTTAAAGCACCAACTGAGACATGTCTATAAATCTGGATCTAAGCCTTCCAAGGCCTAAAATGTGGCTGCTATTTTCCATGGTTTCCGCTGAGTCTGTTCCAGATTTAACAGCTGAAATGTTTCTTGGTACTCTGTTCCTGACAGGTATTAAGTTTCTAATCCAGAGCTGGTCATTCCAGCCTTACAGC